TTTGATCATAATGTTGGACCATCTTGTCATTTAGTTGCCTCTGGTAAAACTAATTTAACACCGGTTTCGGATCATAGGGTAACTGCAATAAAATTCCTTAGCGAGGGTTCTTTAATATCGTTTCATTGTGCGTGTGCGATGTTAAAGTCGTATAAAATTATAGAACCAGTGTTATGCACCATTTCATTTTATATGCATCTGTGCATCACCGTCGTCCACCCATACGTAAACGTAATCAATACATTTGTTGATGATACCTTGTGCTTCATCCATTTAGTTTTGTTTAAGTCTGTGTTAAAAAAAAAGATGATTTCGTATTTCGAACGTCAACGAACGAAATGAATGCATCCTGAGTTTTCGTCAAAGTATGGCGATCTGTGAGGATGCATTACCCTGATGCAGAAAACTGCGAATTGTTCGACGTTTTTTTTTTCCGATAGTCGATGCGTATATCATATTTCTTGTAAGCAGTTTAATGCTTTGAAATCAACTCCTTACGCAAACAACTTTAACTTTCTCTTTTCGGTTTCGTTTCAATTAAGCTCGTTACGGTTAGGAATCATCAAGACATGTCTCATAATTAGCAGTTATGTGTTTTAAATTATCGCCCCTCTTATGACTTGTGATTCAAAAAAAAAAAAAAAAAAAAAAAGATTCTTATTATTAAAGTCCCTTTTGATTGGTATTTTCTCCCCGCCGTTGAAGTTGATGGTCTTTCGTCTTCCATCTGTAAAATCTTTGTAGACACTTTCAATGCATCGGCCAAAGAAATTTCTTCGTTAAATTTATTCTTTTTAAAAATTCATCGTCAAGAATTTCTTCTTCTCCTTTTTTTGATTGGCCGTCAAATGTTAAAGGCTCAATGTAAACAGGAGGTCCTTGGTTGCACCTGAATAAGGTCACTGTTTAGTTTAGGCCATAGTTTATTTTTCTTTCAATTTGTTTTTTATATTGCTTGCTAGGTACTTTAAGCGCTTGTGGTACGGGGCATCTTAAAATTGATCGAACGTATGTAACGCGCTTAAGATAGATGCATATTCTATTATATCGATCGGTTCAGATCGATTTTTTGGATCAATCTAAGTCCGTCTGTCCGTCTGTCTGTCTGATATCTATCCACGTATATTTGTTTTCAAGGTGCAGGTCGTAATTTTGATGAAATTTGGTACACTGTCGTGCTTTGACGCAAGAACGAACGCTATTGAAAATGTTTCGCATCGGACAATTTTTTCGATCACGCCTTACGTTGTTGATAAGTCGTTATAAGAAACAATAATATAATTTATAGAATGCCGGGACAAAAATCATTCCGTAATCATATTTCGGCATATCAATGATTTGTGAAAATTTTGGATCGGATGCGGAACTTTCTTCAATCAGTTGCCGTTATAAACGTTCCTACGAGAAACGAATCTTTATATAGTAAAAATAAGGGCTAATTTTTAATATTTGTTGATGAAACCTAACTCATAATTATAATTTGACATAAAAATTAAGCTGATCAGGTAGGTCTACTTTTTCGATCTCAATACTCATAAAGGTTCTAATAAAAAATAAGACTTCATATGTCAAAAACGGTTTAATTTTTAATATTTTATAATGAAAATTTTTCCTTAGTAAATCAAGCATAGGGTTTGAGATCACATAGATTTATTTTTCAGTGGCTCTCGTGAGAACAATCCCTTCTGCGGCTAATTTGATGATTTAATAATGGTGAAAGCATTCGGAAAATAATAAAATCTTTAACAAATGATAACTAAATTTGTTTAAATGTAATTTTAGATTCCGTTGACCTTTGAGTAGCCGCCAATATGAGAGCTTTCATGAGAATGATATATTTATATGATTTTTATTGTATTATTAATAAAATAAATGCTGAATGACTGCATTGTCTAGTCGTGTAGGGTTTCTAATAATCGGCCTTGCCCGACTATCGCATTCGTACTTGTTTTTTTCTTTTTTTTTTTCAGAAGAAAAGGCAAATTTGGCCAGTAATGTTTTTTGTGTGGCGGTAAGGGTATTAAGGGTTTGGTACGCATTTGCTTTACATACAACGTATGCATATTCTTTAATCGCCTTGAGGGCGAAGAACATTAAAATTGTCTTGTCTTATTTGTTCTTCACTTGTTATCATTTATTTATATTTTCATTGCAATCTGTTTGTTTAACTTGCACTCCAAAAATGGAAGGTCTTGCGGTCATACGAGCGCCTGCCCATTATACGCATATAGAAGTCGATTGAGTACGATTTTTTAAATAAGAAAATATTAAACGACTTTATTATGAAATATGCTTAAAATTTGCATTTCTAACTAAGAATTGAACGTAGACACTATGCGGCATGACAGCATCCCAAAGGATTCAATGAGACAAAGTTTCAAAAAGTTTTAAGAAAATATTGTTTTATTATTTTGTAAACATAGAAAAATGAATTTATTTTCACCAAGCATCTAGTTCCGATGCAATGGAAGCATCCACCGTCATGAGCCGATTTCAATTGTCTTCCCAATTTTTGTAAACGTAGGATCGTTATATCTTGTATCTCACATTTTAAATTATCTTAAATTGTTTTTAGCTTCTTCAATGTTTATCTGATATGTCATAATTTTTTTTTTTTTTTTTTTGAAGGCACATCTCTGTATTGATTATACAGATATTAGCAATTATAGTTGTATCTTGACCTAATTGGGCCACTTAGCAAACAGTTAACAACAAAAATAATCTTCACTACCTCTCGAACGACTATCGAAGTCTATCGAAGAAATCTATTTCAATTACAATTTTTTTCATCCAATCTATCGCCAAGCTAGTCCATACATTCTGTAATGGAATTTTAATTAATTAAAAGAAAAATATTAAAAATAATAAAAATTAAAGTTCTTGTACTTGCTTAGTTAGTTCACTCATCAAATAAAATCAATTTAATATTTGTGTTAGTTCATTCATTCGACAAAAGCATAATGTTTAAATATTCTCCAGGCCGTAATATAATATTCCTTTCGATTCGTTTCAGCTTCGTTCAGGTATCGATTATAAGCTGAGATAGATATTGACAAGTTTCACAATTGCAAGCTGGCACAATCCATTCATATATCATAAACGTGGGATATCTAAGCCGATATGTAACTCACTGATTGCTATCCATCTCACTGATTGCATCCATACGAATAGCATTTATACAATTCCATTTACTATTGTATTATTGAAAACTTTTTCACGGTACGATCAGTTGTTGTCCCCATAAACGAATTGCTCAAGGAGTATTTTAGATGTAACTTTGTGAGTTTGCGGCAAAGTTAACTGACTGCAACGTTATGCAGTAGGTATAAAGAGTCTGCACTTTATTTGCTATGCAGCATTTTCTGTTTGATTCAACATTTAAAATGTACATGTAAATGCTATCGTTATGTCATTTCGTTTATTGTAATAATTTTGCCACTGAATAATAATTGATTTCATTAAAAACCTTTGAAATTGAATGCTTTGAAACATAACGCTGTTTAGTCCTCTATGAAACAAATTGCCTTGTTTTTGTTTTTCAAACATGAAACATGAATAAATTCAGATATATAAAATAAATAATAAAAAAAAAAGAAAAAAAAAAAAAATAGATATACGAAGAAAATTGAAGACACACACAAAATCTCTCTAAACTCTAATGCACATACATATTTATTGCTCTAACCCTGAATGGAAATGATTATTTAATACTAATAAAAATAAAGGCAACTGGTTAAAAACTTAAAAATATATATATATATATACACATATATAGTTTTCTTATTGTGGAAACAAACTCATTCAAAGTAACGATCTCCCGAATTTTGAATTCAATATTAAGTTAACGATAACACATGTAAAAAAAAGTTAATTTATCTCATAAATTGTTTTAAATCTTTTGACATCCATTACAAGAGCAATACGAATTATGGTTGCATCAGTTATACGATTACGATAAAGTAAAGCTTTCAATGTTCGCCGAAAATGTTTGAAGAAAAATTCAAATATTTAACTTAAGATTGAATATCTCAAGGGTTTTTTTTTTTTTTACACTATTTCTTGGTGAAGAAACAATTAAAAGCGCATAATGAGGAGGGCAAAGCCCACCTTTAAAATATCCTATCGACAGTTGATAGTTATCCATAGATTGGCGTTATATGGCGAGTGGTTGAAAACGTCGACCGATCTTAGCCTTTTTCAATAGCGTTCATCCTTGGAACAAAGTATGCCAGTACACCAAATTTCATCAAAATATCTCAAAAATTATAACCTGTAGGTTAAACGCAAATTTATGAAGACAGACGGACAGACAAGCTTAGATCGTTTCAGAAAATGGTAATAAAAGATGAATCGATCCTAAGCTCTTTACTTCCGCACAAAATTATACCACAAGTAGTATAGCGTATAAAAACAAAAATAAAGACGACAGACGGACAGGCAAACTCGGAACGATTCGGAAAATGGTAATAGAAGGTGAGTCGATGCTAAACTCTTGTGAGGGTTATATACGTCCATATAAAATTAATTTGCCTTACGCCACAACTAGTATAGGATATAAAAACAAAATTAATGTATAAATAAACATGAGACAAAAAATGCGTGTACACATCGAGCACAGTGGCACATACGCAGCTGGTATAAATCCGAGTTAAAAACGAATCCATAAGCCGTTACAAACATGCCAAAGCTTGGCAACCGATAATATTGAAAAAATGTAATTCAAA